ACTAATTATATATATTTTTCTACACACATTTTTTAAGTCAGAAGGGAAGCATTTTAAAAAAAAATAGATTTTTTTTGAGGATTAGAGATATAGCTGAGTGGCAAAGTTTGTGTTTAGGCCCTGGGTTCAAAAAAGAAGGGAGGGCTGGGAAGGTGGCTCAGTAGTAGAGTACTTGCCTTGTGTGCATGAGGCCCTGGGTTCAATTCCTCAGCACCACATAAGCAGAAAAAGCCGGAAGTGGCACCGTGGCTCAAGTGATAGAGTGCTAGCCTTGAGCTGAAGAGCTGAGGGACAGCGCCCAGGCCCAGAGTTCAGGCCCCACGACTGACCAAAAAAAAAAAAAAAAGAAGGGAGAGTAAGAGAGGGGGACAGAGAGGGGAACAGGGAGGGAGACAGGGAAGGGGAAAGGGAGCAAGAGAAAGAGAGGGAGATGGAAAGACAGAGAGAAAGGGAGAAAGGAAGGGGGAGACGGAGAGGGAAAGAAGACTCAGTCCCTTGAGCTGGCTAGACCTTTACCACAAAGTAAATCTTGTTTTTAACAAAGTATCTACTAACTACACTGTTCACCAAAGTGATCGAAACATATTTAACTTTACATTGTAGCAGTTTAATCTAAAAAAATCAAAAAAGAAAACAATCTGGCTAGGCACACCAGTGGCTCATGCTTGTAATCCTGGTTACTCAGGAGGCTGAGAAAGGAAGAAGCCAGTTCAAAGCCCACCAGGGCAGAAAAGTCCATAAGACTCTTAACCACCAATTAACCACCGAAAAGTCAGAAGTAGAGCTGTGGCTCAATTGGTAAAGCACTAGCATTAAGGAAAAAGCTAAGGGACAGTGCTTAGGCCTTGAGTTCAAACCCGAGTACCAATACTAGAGTGTGTCTGAATGCACACAAACATGTACACACACACACTAACCCATCTGTGTCCCTTGCTGGTACAGGGGCTAAAAATTAACACGGTCTGTTTTAAACCATTTCCCCAACTAAACTGGGTGTTTTAGTTACCATCAAATAAGCACCAAAGAGTTACAAGGGGAAGGGTGGGGGCTGCACACATGGTCTCTGATGCACTATGTCAATGAGTGTAGGTTGGGCCTCAACTGCCATGTGCCAGGGGCAGCATTATTACATATAGTAGGGAATGAAATGTTGTCTATAATCCCAAACTACCACAAAGCATATGACCCTTATTTAGAGTATTAAAGTTTACCATCCTTTCTATTGATTGTACAACTGCGGCGGTTTTCTCAATCTGTTTTGTCCTTCAGGAAACCCATTTCATTTTTAAAATTTTTCTAGGTGATGCTAGGGCTTGAACTCAGGGCCTTGTGGCTGCTAGACAAGCACTCTACCACTTGAGCCTACACCCTTAACTCTCTTTAGTTTCTAGTTTTACACTTTTGCCACAATCAGCCTCACACCAAGACCCTCCTAACTCTACTTTATGAGAAAGTGGAGTTACAGGCATATATCATCATGCTCTGCTTGTTGTGTTGAGCTAGAGTCTCATTGCTTCTTTGTCCAGTATGGTCTTAAACTACACAGTCTTCTTAACTCTGCCTTCCAAGTAACTGAGATTACACTTTATTTTAATAGTGCTGGGGCTTGAACTCAGGGCTTTGTGCTTGCTAGGCAAGCACTCTAGCATTGAGCTAAATCCTCAGCTCCGTACTGTTACTGAATAAAAGAAAATCAGAAAACATATGTATAGAGTTCCATTACCTCTACCTTTCCTCAACATGCAATTCTGCTCTCAGATGTTAACAAATCATTTCTTCAAACATAAAATCATATGCTTTAACTATTATTTTACAAAGCCCCATAATTAACAACAGTAATAGTTCTTGGCCTTTCAATCTAAAGAGATTAGCTTTTAAGCCAGCACTTTAATATTAAATGTACATTTCATAAAGATTAGGATTGACTCAGTAACCTTTGAAGAAATAGCAAACCCATAATTTTTAATGTCATAATCTTCCAATTAAAGCCCCAAAGTATAAAGAAATATACAAATCAAACTAATAGTAAATTTAATGTTTTTTTCTCTAAGCCATCAAATTCTGTATTTTGTACTCATTTCTTCCTTCTTTTTTCAAAACCAAACCAAACCAAAAAAGCAAGACACCAGTGGTTCACGCCTACAATCCTAGCTACCCAGGAGGCTAAGATCTGAGGATAGAAGTTCAAAGCCAGGCCATGCAAGAGACTTTTATCTCCAGTTAATCACCCCCTCCAAAAAGCCAGAACTGAGGCTGTGGCTCAAATTGTAGAGTGCTAACCTTGAGGAAAAAAATAAAAAGCTTAAGAATAATGCCTGGGAATAGTGCCCAGGCCCTGAACTCAAGCCCCAGGACTAGGAAAAAAAAACCCCACAAAACAAAAAGCAAACCCAACTACTTAAGAATGCTTTATCACCTATGGGCAAACTTACATGTGTCTGCATATTTTAATGACAAGGATGATTTGCTTTTACAACTGTTGTATTACTACTTGAAGCCTGTTCATAAATGACTAAGATAGCCTATTTGAAAGGGATCTCACACAGAATTTTGAACAGAGATGCTCTCTTACAAGGCATATAATTTATATCTGCGAGTAGTACTCCTTGTCATTTTTATCTCAGAATATGACATGTTGGCAGTTCCTATCTTTCCAAATTCCACCCAAAGTTTGGAGTTTAATGAAAGATAATATATCTTGTATGGATCATTGGAAAAGTCAAACATGACAAAGGAAAAAAAAGACTTACTAATCATTTTATAAGCCGTATAATTTTTTAAGAACAGACACTACATTATGTATGTGGTTTGTGATGTGGGTGTTTTGGACAAAGGGTCAGCTAATGAATAAGGCTCCCTTCCCCCCTACTTAACAGAGAACATTGCTAAATAAGCTCTAGGTAGCAGTTACATGCAGAGGATGAGACCAAAGTGAGGACAGATGAATAATGTAGACCTCAGTACTCAATTGTGACTCCTCAAAAAACGTTCAGCATGTACACAATTACTCTTAGTGACAATTCAGCACCAGTGCCTCTATGCGTGAAAAATTCTGCCCCCACTATGAGCAAAAAAGCAAGCATGGATGAGGATTGGTTCATGGTTTTTCTTTTTGATGTTTTACTTTCCCAGTAAGTCAGAAAATAAGTGATCTTCTGGTTAAACTCAGCCTTGGGGTAAAATTTGGAGAAACGGATATAACACAAAGACAGATATCATATCTAATGTGTCCTATCTGAAGAAATAACTATAGGGGAAGCTTGCAGATATAACATGGAATATTCCTCCATATCCCACAGCTTCCCAATCAGCCCACTCATGAATGCAGGCTTGTGATATTTGGAAAACCTCCCATTTTCAAATTTCTTAAAAAGACTTTTCCAGATCTAAAAGACTGAGGAGACTAAATGGTTAGCTGTAGAGAAGTCAAGCTCTATTTAAATGCTGTCTTAAGGAAATGCTCATGCCTGTCCTCCTCAATTTATCAAAATGCTCTGAGTGCATGACAGGGAGCCATCTGCACCTTTCTTATGATAAAGATTTTCTAATAGACACCATTGAGACATGACACTAATACACACCACAGAGACATGAGTCAGCCTTCCAGAGTTGGGGAAACTGATGGAAAGATGGGTAAATGATTCAGCAAGCTGCAGAAAAATGAGTCGGTCATGAATTTGTAATTTCTACTTCTGTTAGGTGTGTAAGCCCTGGTGTCCTCTCTCATCCGGTACTGGATATGTAACATATGACAGAGGTTGTTAAATAAATGAATCCCCCAGCAAGGACACCTCGGTGTTTCCCTCTTAGATGAACTTCTAGGAAGAAAAGCACTTAAGGCCATGAGAGCCCAGTTCATAAGGCTGGACCAAGCTAGGGCCAGGCTCCATTCACACACAGGGGTCACTCTCTCAGTTGCACAACAGACCGGGACAGGGTGGGGTGGGGGGGTGTCGGCTTGAAGCAGGAGAAGAGCAGAGAAGAGACAAACATCCTAACAGGACAGAAGATCAAAAAGACTGCATGGGCATTGCAGACTACAACCCCAGGAAGCCTCCCTCCTGGAAGCAGATGATCAGGTCTTTTTCTAAGTGTCCCCATTTGCCTTTAATAAGGAGGAAGAGACCACAACAACCAAGTGACAAATTTCAGAAGCAGTGAGACCCAAAGCAAACCAGAATAAATCCCTTTCCATCAAATAACCAATGTGAGAAGAAAAAAAAAGAGAAACACTCTCATCTGCAAGTGTGCCATCTCGAATGCTGACAGTGCTTCCATTTTGTGACCACAGCTCTGCAGCCCACCTGGTACTTCCTGAGAACCGACAATGCAGTGTGCCAGGATGGGCGCCCATATCTATTCAGCACAATGTCATCACATTGATTTGGTGACAGATGACACAGGCCTCACACACAAGCCCTTAGCAGCAATATTGAACACACAGAACCATTTTAGAACTATTGAAAATGTATTCAGGAAACTACCGAGGTGACAAGTATGACCTTCCATCTTCTGTTCCCTTCCCCAGCCCCAACCTGCACCACAGAAGCACTGATTTTCTTGAACTTGGACGAAGGAGATGATGGAGAAAGAAAAAGGTATATAGCATCTAATTCCAAGTGTGACACTCACACACAGCCCACAGCCCACTCACAGCACACACGGTACACACACACCACACGTGCACACACAGCATACTCACTGTGCACACAGTACACACATACCACACACATGTACACACCGCACACAGGGCATGCACATGCAGCATGCATACACACGCACACAGCACACACACACATACAATACACCAAATACACTGCACGCACCCAGCGCACAGGTAACACACAAAAACGGCACAGAGCACATCCATACAACACACACACAGCTCACACATACAAGTAGCTCTGCGGCCCTGGCTGCCCTGGCTGGCCCAGCCTGGCCTGGCCCGCGGGGGAGGGGCGTCTCCGCCCGCTGGGCCCCACTTATCTAGGGGTGCTCACAGTCCAGGTGCTTCTTCTTGGGGCCCATCACTTCATGAGTGGTGGCCTTGCACACGGCCCTGGCCACCGCGGAGCCCGTCACGCTGTACTGGGCGGCGGCGATCCGGTCGGTGAGCGTTTGGCCCGACATCTTCTCCAGCCGTGTCTACGCCTCCTCTTCTGCGGGGAAGGAGAGGACTGGCTGGCCTTGACCCGCACCCCAACCTCGGGGAGCCTCGCCTCGCCTCCGGGGGTGCACGGGCCCCTCCCCCCTGCGACCGCGCCCTGCCCGGCCCCGCGACCCCTGCGCGGCCCGGGGATGTGGCCTCACCGTGGGCACCCCGCACCCCACCTCCACACTGCACCCCCACGCCCGCACCCCTCCCCTCGGGCGCCCCTGTGCCCATCAGCACTTTCTCGGCCGGCGGGCAGGAAAGGCCCAGGAGTCCCGGGGCTCCTCCGGTTCTCCCCGGGCGCCCCTCCCCGCCATCCTCCCGTTCCTCCGCGGCGCCCGGGCCCGTGGTCCGCCCGGGGAGGGTCACCCCAGCGCCCCGTCCCCACACCCTCGCCCCCGAACCCCGCTGCGGGGACCTGGGCCCGGGGCGCCTCACCTTTCCCGGCCTCCAAGCCCAGCGGGGCAGACGGCGCGGCCCCCGCCCTCGAGCTGTCACCCCGCCCGGACCAGCCCGCGCCCGGGGGATTATCCGCTCCGCATCCCCGCCGCCTGGCGAGGAGAGGGGGGCGCAGGGGAGGGAGGGAGAGCAGAGGAGGGAGGGGGCGCAGGGCAGGGGAAGGAGGAGGCGCAGGGGGAGCGCAGGGCAGAAGACGGGGGCTCGGTACTCACCCACCGTGGCGCGGCGCCGCCGCCGCAGGATGAGCGGAGCCTGGGCCGCTCCACGCTCTGTGCGCAGCCGCGCGCGGGCCCGGGTCCCTGCGGGCGCGGTGCCTCCGACGCTGGGCCGGGCCCCTCCCCGCGCCTCCCAGAGCCCCGCGGTCCCCACGCCCGCCGCCCGCGTCTCTCCCGCCGGCCCCCGCCCCGCGCGCCCCCACCTCCGCTGGAGCTGGCGACGACGAGTCAGGTGACAGCGGCCGAGGAACCAGCGCGGCTGCGGAGCGCCGCGCGCCCCTCCCGCCGCGCGCACCGCCGCGCGCACCTCCGCTCCCGCCGCCCGCACCGCCGCGCCCCTCCCGCCGCGCGCACGGCCGTCGGCACCGCCGCGCGCACCTCCGCTCCTGCCGCCCGCACCGCCGCGCCCCTCCCGCGCTCCCCTCCGCTCCCGCCGCCAGCACCCCCACACCCCTCCCGCGGGCACGGCCGCCCGCACCGCCGCGCGCGCACCGCCGCGCGCACCTCCGCTCCCGCCGCGCGCACCGCCCGTGCTGGTCAGGACCCGGGGCGCACGACGCCCGCCGCGGGCGCTGAGAAGAAGGTGGCGGCGGGCGCCGGCGTTTTCCCCCTCCCCTCCCTCTCCTCCTACTCCCCCGCCCCGCGCGTACTGCCCCGCACGCACCTGTCCGGCAGCTGCGGGGCGCAGGCGGGCGCGGGCCTGGTGGAGCCCGGGCGTCTCCGCCTCTGCTCGCGGACGGCGCGGCGGAGCTCGGCTCCTCCTCCGCCCCCAGCGTCTGCGGGTCAGAGCCCGGGCGTGCGGGGCGGCCGTGGAGACCTGGGGCGCGGGGCGGGTGATCGTGGTTCCCACGTTCCGCCTGGGCCCCGAGGGAGCGAAGCCAGGCGCAGGAGCGCTCAGCTGCAGGTCGTCGATTTACATTCCGTGTTCAGGTGGAGCTTTGAACCCCGGGGCCTGGCGCTGGGCCCGTGCGTCGTCCCCGGAGCCGCGCCCTCGGCCCGCTTTGCTTCCTGTGTGTTTCTCAGATCAGTTCTCACTCTCGCCCGGCTGGACTCCAACCCCGGTGCTCCCAGCCCTGCCTCCACGCAGCCGGGCTTGCAGGTGTGCGCTGCTCTGCCCGGCTGGCGGGCTCGTGGGTCTCGGCGTCCCCGTGGGTCCCGGTGTCCCCGTAGGTGCCCGGCTGCAACCGACCTCTGCGTGCCCTCAAGGGCACACATATCTGTTCACACCAGTTCTGGTGTTTCGCCTTTTACCGTGCCCCATGTGCGGGGCCTGATTGCATCGCTGTTGGGGCAGATGATAGCAATTAAAGAAAGACAGCCCGGGACCACGCCTGCAGCTTTCAAGTGCTAGTGCAAGGTGTGACCCACGCGTACCACTCACACTAGTGTTCACCTACAAGGAATAAAAACACACCTAAATTAAAAAATGAAAAAGCTGATGCGGCTTAGCACCAGTGGCTCACGCCCGTCATCCTCGCTTCTCTAGAGGCCCAGATCCCAGGACTGCGGTGGGAAGTCAGTGGAGACAAGCAAGCCCAAGAAAGGCCTAGTACACACCCAGAAAAAAGAACAGGGAGTTGGAAGGGGGCAGAAGTCGTGGAGCCCAGCAGAGAGTGAAAAGAGTCCCAGTGCCAGCCTGGAGTTCACCCCTAGCCCGGGGGGCAGGAGAAGGGGTGGTTACTTAGGTTTTATAAAAGTATGGGGAACCAGAAGGTTATTCTTGGGCAAATACTCTCCATAGATATGTTAACCACTCACTGTAAGAACAAGAGCACATGAGCACCGTGGGTGAATCTCAGACATGCGGTGCTACATCCTAAAGTGCTTGTTATAAACACCATTGACTGCTTTGCCTCGGTTATAGGACAATCTGCAAAAGGCAAAACTACACAGAGAGGGGACCATACCCAGAACCAGAGGTCAGGCGAAGGGATTGACTGTAAAGGAACAGAAAGAATTTTCTAGATCCATGGAAATGTATTACATGATGACTGTCATTGTGGTTACACAGCTGCACATCCAAGTCAAAGCTCACTGATCTGAGGCAAGGATGCCCACTGTCTCCACTCCTCTTCAATATAGTCCTGGAACCCTTAGCCAGGGCAATAAGGCAAGAAAAAGACATTAAAGGGATCTGCATAGGGAAAGAAGAAGTTAAACTATCCCTTTTTGCAGACGACATGATACTATACCTTCACAATCCCAAAAACTCCATCCCCAAACTCTTAGAAATTATAAATCACTTCAGCAAAATAGCAGGATACAAAATAAACCCACAAAAATCAGTTGCCTTCCTGTACACTGACAATGTACAAGAAGAGAGGGAAATAAAGGGAGCAACCCCATTCACAATAACCTCCCAAAAAATAAAATATTTAGGAATTAACCTAACCAAAGATGTAAAAGAACTATTTAATGAAAACTACAAAAAGTTAAAGAAAGAAATTGCAGAAGACTCTAGGAAATGGAAAGACCTCCCATGCTCTTGGATAGGCCGACTTAATATAGTAAAGATGGTAATACTTCCAAAACTAATATACAAATTCAATGCAATTCCTATTAAAATCCCAATGACGTACATCACTGAAATACAGAAAACAGTCCAAAAATTCATATGGAACAACAAAAGACCTAGAATAGCCAAAACAATTCTAGAGGATAAAGACAATATGTGTGGGCTATCCATGCCGAACTTCAAACTCTACTACAGAGCTATAATAACAAAGACAGCAAGGTACTGGCACAAAAACAGACCCGAAGACCAATGGAACAGAATAGATGATCCAGAAATAAATCCACAGGCCTACAGCCAGCTGATATTCGACAAAGGAGCCAAAGACATACAATGGAAGAAACACAGCCTCTTCAACCGCTGGTGCTGGAAAAACTGGGTGGCTACATGCAGAAAACTAAAAGTGGACCCCAGCCTATCACCATGCACCCACATCAACTCAAAATGGATTAAAGACCTTAACATTAAACCTGAATCTCTGAAACTACTGCAGGACAGAGTAGGAGAGACACTTGAACTAATAGGCACAGGAAGGAACTTCCTGAACAGAGTCCCAGGGTCACAACAAATTGGAGAGAGACTCGACAAATGGGACTACCTTAAAATAAAAACCTTCTGCACAGCTAAATTTATCGCAACCAAGCTAGAAAGACAACCAACTAATTGGGAAAAAATATTTACCAGCAATATATCAGACAAGGGGTTAACATCCTGTATATACAGGGAACTCAAGAAACTAATCCCTCCCAAACTTAACAAACCAATTACTAAATGGGCAAGGGAACTAAAGAGGGACTTCTCAAATGAAGAAATAAAAATGGCAAAGAAACACATGAGGAAATGTTCATCATCCCTGGTGGTGAAGGAAATGCAAATAAAGACAACCCTGAGATACCACCTTACCCCAGTCAGAATGTCCCACATCCACAAATCAGCCAACAACAAATGCTGGAGGGGATGTGGAGAAAGAGGAACCCTATTACACTGCTGGTGGGAATGTACACTTATACAACCACTTTGGAAAGCAGTCTGGAGGGCCCTTAGAAAGCTAAAGATTGACCTCCCTTACGACCCAGTCATACCACTTCTAGGCATCTACCCTGAACAACAGGAACCAATATACAAGGACACGTGCACCTCCATGTTTATTGCAGCACTGTTCACAATAGCTAGGATATGGAAACAACCCAGATGCCCACCACAGATGAATGGATCCAAAAACTGTGGTATCTATACACAATGGAATATTATGCAGCCATTAGAAATGACAAAATAATGGCATTTGCAGGGAAATGGATGGAGCTAGAAGGAATCATGTTGAGTGAGGTAAGCCAAGAACGAAGAGACAAACGGTACATGGTCTCCCTGATAAGTGGATGCTAAATCCAAAATGTTAGGTGATACGACAAAACTAACAGGACTTAAGAAACAAAGAACGTCCACTCATCTGGTCGAACCACTACTAAATATCCCCATGCTGCTGATCACATGTATGGTGTATAACATGTGTACACCGATATATGTTATAGATTGTTATAGACAATTTGCTCCAGGAAAGTTAGAATGAACTTGTGACTTTAAATGAGCATCATTATTCCACAATACTGTGAAATTCTGGAAATTATGTAATCACTTAATCATAATCAAAAAAAAAAAAAAAGAACCTCAGGGAAGGTAGGGAGGGAAAGGATGGTAGGGGGAAAGCAATGGAGGGGGTAACAATGCTCAATAGGAAGTGTACTCATTACCTCACTCATGCAACTGTAACCCTCTGTATAGTATCTTTACAATAAAAAAAAGCTCACTGATCTGGACACTTACTGTGATGACATTTTATTTTATCTAGTTCATCTCAATATGTTGGACACAATACAGCTAGAAAGGACCATATTAATATCAAAACAGACTTTACATGGAGGAGTTGAATGTTGAAAGGTCACAATGAAATCCCTCACTTTGTACAACCTATGTACACTCATTAAAATGGACTTGCATAATATGCATATTTATAAGGATAAGTATGCACATTTCATAAGGATAAAAATTCATCAACCGTGTATAACAACCCTGGGTATTTAGGTATCTAGGAAGACAGCTTCACAATTAGATGATGCAAAAATGAAAAAGAGGAAAGAAGCAAATCCACAGTTATATTAAGAATTTCAACTTCTTTATTTGTAATTGGCAGGCCAAAATACCAGAAAGTGCACAGATGACTTGACATTGCCCTAGTGTCATTGGACTGGTGCCTACCCAGAGTGAAGTGCATTTTCTTCAGATACCCATACAGCATTCACCAGGATAGGCTGTGTTCTCAGCCAGAAAGTGACACTCAGTACAATGGTAGAAATTCTAGTAATTAACACAGTGGAATTTCATCATTAACAAATGCCTGAAAAATCTCTAAATGTTTGGTTATTAAATAATCCATTCAAAATAACCTTTGGATCTAATTTTCTCACAAGCAAAATGAGAAACTTCTTTGAAATAAATGATAATGAAAATGCAACACATCAAAATTTGT